TGCTTATAAGAAAAACTGTGACTAAGGATTTTTAATATTTTTCAAATGCCATTGTAACAAAATAGTAGGAGCCTTGTATTAAACAAAAAAAGTTTTATTGACATTAATAGAAAAAAAGGCTAACATAATTCTTTCATACCTCTGTTTTGAAAATAAATTTCAAAAAAATGTATTAAAATATTATGATATATAATTTAATCTAAGCTAGGTTTTGTTTATATTCTAAAATATATTTAGTTTATTAATAACAAACAGTATTGTTCAAAAATAACTTTTAATCATTCGGGTTAAAATTATATTTAAATTATAATATCAAAACTAAAATAATTTCTTATATTATTTATAATGTATGATTGTGAGTTCTTAAATAAATGTCTTCATTTAGGTACTTAAGGGGCTCCAGTCAGTTTTGTCAAAAGTCAAAGCTAATGTAGATTTGACCAATCTAAACATAAATATCGTTTATTATATTATTTTTAAATATATTTCATAACAGTAATGTATATCAAAACTAAAAAGCCATTAAATCTATCCCAAGTTCGCCCACGAGTAATTATCCAGATCTGTTGTAAGAAATGGTATTGCTTTATTAGTTCGTTCGGTACGGTGGGCTAAAGATTCGGACTTATGTGTACCTAACTGAGATTGAAACATATAGATAATATACATATCTATAATATAATCAGGCACTGCGTCAAGGGGGGGGGGCAAGGGGGGGAGGGGCAATACGTACGATATAATAAAGTCATTAAACATTATTCTTAAAAGAGCTACATCAAAGAATTTATGAAATATACTTTTTAAACATTTTTAATTTATAGAAATACTTTCGTGCACTTTCATTACTAAACACAATTACTTAAAATAAACAATAACTAATTAATAATTTAATTAATAGTTTTGCCATTATAAATAAATTCTAGTATTTATAATCAATAGTATTGTGTAAAAAGTCAAAAATCTCTGATAATACAGTACATTTACTATTTTTATTTTACAAGTGATAAAACAACGAGTACCTATCAACTGAAATAGCGGAGGTGATGGCGCCCCGGCACACATGAATTAATTTTATTTTACAACGGTTTGTGCTTTTATATTTTATGTCTGCAATTACCTACCTATTATGACAGTCAGTGGCGTACACAGCTATTTTCAATTGGGGGGGGGGGGCTTACATATAAAAAATTATATACATATATATATATATATATTATACATTGATAAATCAAAACGATGTACCTATAGTAATTATTTTGTACATAATGAGTAATCGGCTCATTAGCAATGACTTAAGGTGAAATTAAAAATATTTTTACAATTCTCGATTATTATTTAAAAAATATATACCCGTATTACCTACAGGTAATTATTTAGTATAACTACAAAGCTACACGCGTACATACAAATTCAATAAAAGATAGGTATAAAAAGAAATTTATTTTTACCATATTAATCATTTTTTTGTATCTAGGTCCTAGGTTGATAATATAATGTATTAAATATTTACCTGGTTCCTCCGAGTTAATTGTATCACAAATTAGTGAGTTAGAAAAATATTCGTTTATTCTTTTCATTTTTATTGTTTTATAAAATATTTAAACAGTAAGTACAATTTACTAAACGTCCAAAGCGTCAGGAATTTGATTGAAAACTGAGAAATAGATTCTATACTATAGTATTAGCGATACTGCGATAGCTGCTATTAAGGCACATTATATCGGATTACACGATTGTCGACCCTCATGTTTGTGTTTGAACAAATTTCCCAATAATTTCATTAATTTGTAACAAGTTATCAATAATATCTACAATATATTATAACAACAAACTGGGTTGCTTATAAGTTATAAAATATAAGTTATAATATAATGGAGTATAATATTTTTTTAAATTGTCATCATTTTTATTATACATTTTTACGTTATTACGTAAACTGAAAAAATACTAAGGGGGGGGGGGGATAGGAAAGTGAATCTATAGTAGGCACCTACTTTGTTAGGTGAAAACTCAAAAGTAAAAAAGTTCCCAGTAATTTTTAAAAGCGTCGTGAAAAACAAAAAAAAAATTAACAAATATAAAAGTAATTTTCACATAAAATCAGTTATCGACAAAATCGATTATGTTTTTCTATTGTAACTCAAAAATGAATACTAAAAACTTTAAATTTTAACAACATTTTTATATAATATAATATGAGCATTTTCCTTACAAGATATTTCCTACAAGATATTCAAAATATATTGACTCATTTTGAGCTTTAAACATTTTTATTTTTAAATTTCGTCGATAAATAATTTTCTCTCACAATATATTATTTTTAATAGGGTCTAAAGTTAAAACTTTAACAAAATTCATTGAAATTGAGAAAATTAAAAAATTTTCGACTGTCTACCAAATAAAAGTTAAAAGAAAACCTTACCAGAAAGTCACATTAATTTGTGTTGAGACTTAACTAGATAAATGTATATATAAATTGTATGCAGTATGCTGTCAAAAAATTATTAGGAATAAAAAAAATGTTACCCCCTCTCGAATAAGTTATTGGTTCAACACTGTAAACCAGGGGTCTCCAAACTTTTTTTACGGCTGGCCAAATTTGAGATACGCTTTGGCATCGAGGGCCATCATTTTTAGAAGAATAGAGCGGTTGAGAAATTGAAGAACAGATACGATTTATTTAGGAAAATAAATGATTGCTTATTACATATTTTTTTTTATTTTATAATGAGTTGTTCTACTATTACTTATTAGTTAGTGTTAGTAGGTACTTAGTATATAGGTATAAATGACTATTATAAGCTGTTACGAATAACACCAAAAGAAAATAATAATAAATTCAATAAATTAAAAACAATGAAAACTAAATGGAATTAATATCATAAATATATTATTTTCAAAACATTAATGCACGTGGAGGGCCAGAGCAAAAATCTTGGCTGTATGTTGGAGACCTCTGCTGTAATTTGTAAACCAGTTCTTGAAATGGACCGGAACACACCGGAACGGCGTTCCGGTTCGTAATATAAACTTTGGGTCCGTTCCGGTTAGTTAAAATTAAAATTTAAGAGTTCCAGTTCGTAAAAATCGACAGCATCACAATCTAAAGGATTAAAATGATAAAATTTCCTTTCGAAAAAATATAATATTAATATAACATACTTATAATATAGAGAAGTATTTGCAAAGGCTTAATATAATCACTCTTGTGGAGCCAGAAAAGGCTGTTAGAATAACAATTAGAGTAATTGAGCCCACAGGTAGGTGCTTGGGATAGCGATTATTAGAGGTAGCATACCGATGGACGACGGTACTAAAAAGTTGTTATAGGTATTATAACATATGTATAGCAATTGGCAGTATTTTGATTTCTAAATCAGTAAACTCTTTAATATTGTCAAGTACTCAAGTGCGTATATTCGAAGTCAGTGGAAATAAGGAAAACGTGGATTTCTACTTCTTCTTACTTGTATATTAACACTATTGTGGAGTCATTGATTAAACAATAAATATCCACTTATATTTAAAATTTTTCATAACATAGTAAACTATTAATAGTGTCATCTTCTGTAATTACCGATTTAGAAATCAAATTAATACTGCACACTGCCGAGGACCCGTTCTAGTTTTTACTATTAAAATTATAACCTAAGAAAATCTAGGAAAACAGTTTTTAACAAGTCGTATAATTTCTGATAGCTTTCTGTTATTAAGAAAATGCCAATTGATAGTTACGAAAAATTCAAAAGAGGGTGTGACGATCCATTCGCTGAATTTTGGCCTGGAAAATAAGTACGATCATGGTTAATCAAAGGTAGACATTCTGCTGATAACACTGCAAGTCGCAAACGTGAAAAAAAAACGAAAAATACTCAGCATTATGGAAATTATTATAAACTATAAGTATTAGGCACATTTGAATTGTACCTATAACTACATTTTTTAAGCTTAAAATTACTTATATTTTTTGTATCTATTTAACTTATTATATTGCATTGGAAAATAAACACGAGAGTTAGTTAACATAGTTTACAGTGTAAACTATACAACGGTCCTTAGAAAACCTAAACTTTAGGTTAACTACATCGTGGGCTACATCTTATATTCATATTATAACCTCCCTCCATGACGAGCAAACAATTTTCTTTCATGAAATTATTTTCGTAGAATAGTCTGATTGTTGCATAGAATATCCCTGCATAGTGCATTACCTTTGCCGACTTGTCGTGATCGATGAACGCCGAGGCGTGACAAAAAATAGTATGTGTGGGCGTGTGGCTGGTGCGGGAAGGAAATTTCAGTTTTAAGTGAAAGTGCGGCCCACGACTGCTGCTCGCTACACACGTCGTTCTGGACTGAAATTGTTCACTTCCAGCCCTTGCCAGTTGCCACACAATATACTATTGTACATAGGTACCTATGCAATAGTAATACCTGAAGTACCTTCAATGACGTTATATACATATTATAAATTTTTTTTTTATTATCATTAATTAACCCGCGGAAACTTAGACCATTAGGTGGTTTTTACTGTGGCGGAGGGTACTGTCAATTTTAAACAAGTGTGGTTTTTATTTTTGGCAGATTTTTTAGTGGACACCCGTAGGTATCTGTCATCAGTGGTGCAACTATAGGGGCGCGATACGATTGCGAGCGGTCCTTATCAGCGGTACCTTTTTAAGCGTACGATTGCGCGCTCTATATTATTTTAACTTTTAAGCAACGTTGCCAAATATATAGGTCCATGGTAAATCCGTACGATACTACGATACCATAGTAGATTATTTATTACTTATTTTTGCCGATATCAGACAAACTTCCCATCACTAAGAATGAATTGGTTATATTATCAAAAATATTATCTTTATTGTAAATGTCCATACATGTACGAATATACCTATACTATAATCGTGCATGATGTGACCATATCAATTAACTATCAGTTGTGTTCGGTGTTTGAATTGTGTCACAGTGTAAAATTTTGTGTTGATTTTTTAAAAATGGAAAACGAAATTCGACGTATTACATCGGAGAGGGGAAATGATTTGTTGCTAGTCAATGGGCACAAATTTAGGTGTATCAGGAAGCGGGCTGATGGATATGTAAGATGGAGGTGCTGTAAGAAACAGTGTAAGTCCACAGTGTTGATGACGATTGATGATTTAATTATAGAAAATACTAGTGAACATAACCATCCTGTTGATCCGATACAAAAAATTGATCGACAAGTATTGAGAGAAAGTTGCAAGCGAAAAGCTACAAGTATAATATATCTACCCGACCAATAAAGTTAATTAGAAATTAACTTATGAATAGCGTAAGTACTGAATTAGAACATAAAGATTTAAAATCGGTTAGAAAGGCAATGTATATTGAACGAAGAAAAAATCTCCCTCCCTATCCAACATCTTCTGAAGATGCAATTACAAAAATAAATGAATTTCAAGATGCAGATTTTTTAATGTTTAGAGGGGAAAAGTTTGTACATTTACCCGAAGATTCTACTTTTATTTGTTTAACCACTGAAGAAAATCTTCAATGTCTGACCAGTTGTACCGATGTATTTACAGACGGAACATTCGAATATGCTCCAAAATTTTTTTTGCAATTAAACACCATTCATGGTTATAAAAATGGCATTTACGTACCTTTGATGTATTTTTTTTTTAAATGATAAATTTAAAAATACATATATTAATGTATGGAAGTATTTAATCAGAAGTTATATGCGAAAAACAATCACTTATTTTTAAAATTAAAATACTTCACATTGATTTTGAAATTGGTGCTATTGAAGCAGTAAAAGAAGTTTTTCCGGCTGTACAAATAGGTATCGGGGGTTTAAAATTTAATTTAAATATTGATTTACGAGTATTATATTTTTTCAATTATTAAATTTCTTTGTTTTGTATTATTTTTTTTTTACCTTTTTTATTTTTTATTATTTAGGTACGTAATTTTTTTTAAATAACATTTTTTTAATATTATTAACTTTTTGTATTTTTATTATTTACGTAATACATTTGGCAACGTCGCACCCAATTTCACGCGCAATCGTATGCCTTTGAGTAATTAAAATGTTGTCTTTTGTTATTCTGGCACTGCGCGCAATCGTATACCTAAAAAGGTAAAACGCGCGCAATCGTACTCCGCCGAACTATAGACACTTGGAGGCCCTAAAGTCAAATATAAAATGGAGGCCCCAGCAAAAAATGTAAATGGTCTTAAACAATTAAAGGTACACGGTATGCCCCTTTTTTCCCACCCATAAGGTAATCAAAACCTTTCCATCGTTAATTATAATATATATTATATAATATTATGTATAATAAATATATAAAAGCGAAATGGAAATCTTTGTCAAAGGGTTGACTCCGAAAATGTATGACCGATTTGGCTGATTCTTTTTTTTAATGTATTCGTAATTAATAAAGATTAATATGAAAGAAAACTTTAGGAAAAGTAGAAAACTTGGAAAGCAGAAATACAACAGTGGCATCATCTGTCCAGCAAAAAAAAAAATGAATTAAATAATAATAAAATAAAAGTTTTACTATTCAATTTATTGGTAATTTATTTATACCTATAAATTATAAACCATTTTTAACGGGCAACGAAGTGCATGGGGACAATTAGTAATTTCATAACATTAAAAAAAGTTGTATAAACTGACTTTTTTTTAAAATTACAAATTATTAAAATAGAATAAGTATATTAATATTTCTAGTTTTTTGTAAAAAATCATCTACAAAACGCTCTACAAAATATTGAGAAATACAATAGTAGAGAACTTTTGATAGTTTATAAAACACAATATAATATTTTGATCTAATGTAATTCAGATGTGCCAATATAAAATATATTGAAGTATAGTATATTTTTTTATATACCTATCATCTTTTCCTACAGTTCAATTATACAATTTATTAAAAAAAATACCTACATATTTTGATATTTGACTCTCATTATATCCAAACTGGTGGTTCTTAAGTACCTATACACTCTCCGTTTCGACATAATAATTATACGAAATATACTGATATTACACAAATAAACTACTTAAAAATACTTCACGATTACGTAAATAGAAAATGGGTAATGTTATACTTATAAAGAAATTTAAGTCTAATAAATCTTAAATAAATTCGCCCCCCCCACCCTTAGAACGTAATATATAGATAGGTACCATTAGTTATTAGTTATTACCATAGTCCATTGTCCATAAACAACACTTATACAGTTATACCTACTAAAATAGTAAATAGAATAAATATATACGTATCATTAAAATTGAAATTATCATATTAAATTCATATAATTATTTATTATAAGTTATAACACACACGCGAAAGGCACAACTAAATACATTTTAAGACTTAACACTCGAGAGTCGTGACTGTAAACACTGTTTTAAACACATAATATTTTATATTGTTAATTGATAATTGATAGGTAATATTTGATATTATACATAGATGCGAGTGCCAGTGGAAATGTCCATTTATGATATACCTATCCAACACAATGTAATTATTACAAAAAATATGTATTGTTAAACATTATTTTCACATTGATTTAACATAAGTTCCTGCTATAATAATAATACGAGTGGGCTGTTGATTGTTGTATACATTTTAGAACACTATTCTTGGCCTCCATTAATCCATGGGTAATGATTTTGTAGTATTATTAATATAAATAAATATAAATCAATAACTCGTATTGTAATATAGGTAATCCATAGGCTATTAACAATAACTATTAAAATATAACAGTATAGGTAATTATATTATAACCGTCTCATGTAGATGTTTATAAAAAAATATAGGTAATAATAATAATTATAAAATGTGAAAAAATACCAAAAACCAATTTTTATTATGAGGGCCCCAAAGTTTCACTTTTCTAACTTACCCGCTAGTTGCGCCACTGTCTGCACTTTTCTCCGGACACGGTGGACTGCTCGAAAAATATGCCGCCAGTGGCCAAGTTCGAACCGGCGACGGTATGCGTCACCTTAATCCGCTCGGCCACTCCGTCCCCCATTATTATTATTATAATATTATTATGACGTATAAACAGAAAACACTGCGTCGCATATAACATTGATATTATACTGTGTTGGCTAGTACTGTTTATTGTTGACGACGATTGTGCCTAATATACACTGTTTAATCGAATAGAATTAGTTTATTTATATTGTAATATTTCGACAGTAAATTGTTTCCAATAAGCATTTTCCTTTTTTTAAGTTTGGTATTTATGTATAGTGTTTAAATTAAAGTGAAGCAAAGTAATGTTTTCAATTAATTGAATTATTTTTCCTCGACTTAAAATAGCTGCCAACACAGTACTTAGCATGCTAAGTTTCACGCGTGAAGTGATATTCCGTCAACCAATTAAGATGTGACTGCAGGTCGTAGTTTAGATTGCATTAACTAAAATTTATAATTATACAATTATAGGTGCACTTAGGATAGATTTGATGAAGCCAGCTTTTAGTTAAATAATTTATCAGCGAAAGGCCCATCAGCCATATAGGCTCGTTATATATTATGTTTAAAATGTATACGAGACTAAAGTCCTCTCAAAATTCAAATCCTAAGACCACCTATGGTTATCGTAGTAAATATTAGAACTCATATTATTCTTCTTGTCGAGTCCGGTTTTATAATACGCCAATAATAATAGTGCTAATATAATATACAATTTTTTTTATAAAAACACAAACATAATAAAAAAGAAAATTCATAATACATGCAAAAGCAACAAAACACAACTTAACAATGGAAAAATAAATAAATACATTGTGGTAATGAATTCGGTAAATCTAATAAATAAAAGTCACATACCTATTTGGTAACGTCCTAGATGTTGTATTTTTAATGTGATTTTGCTATAATAATAAGTTATTATAGGTATAGGTACTATATGCAGACTCTACAAAATGTAAAATATTTTAGACATTATAATATCAGGTCTATATAAAATATGGCTACTTTAAGTATTTGATTATGATTTTAACTCATTAGGGTTACCTAATAATTTTTAATTACAACAAAAACATCAAAATTAATTTAATTCAAAACTGGTGTTGTGTAAATATTATACCGTTTTACCGCTGTTTTTTGTTGCCAAGTTGTTACCTATTATTTGCAATAATAGGTAACAACTTATATTTATAAATATTTTAACCTTGTTTTGAACTTTTAGTTATGAGTTATAAAAATTGAACATTATATATATATTTAAATACAAAATAATTTGATACTGTTCGCGATTATGATGGGTTTTGTCAACATTTGAATTTAAAATACCTACTTATAAAAAAATGTGTGCCTTTAATTTTTATATTATGTTTATTACTTTCGAACTCCTAATATGAAATGACTTATGGTCTATAGGTAGGTTTTTTGATTGAGCAAAAATAAATTATTTAATGACAATAATTGAAAAAAAAATCGAAAAGAAAGTTTTAGTCTTGTAATTTATTATTTTTGTTCATTGGGTTTTACTGACTTCTGAAATTTTAATGGTCGCCAACAATTTCCAGATTAATAACTTGAAGCTTCAAAAATATTAATTGGTGACCCCTATATATTATATAATATTATGTACTATAATCATAGGCGCAATTTGGGGGGGACTAGGGAGGCTAGCCCCTTATTAGCCCCCCCCTAATTTTTTTAAATAATATATTCATTCTTTAATCCATAATCAGACATAGATATAGTGAGTTATAAGTATTTTAAGTTTAGATGGGCGGAGTAGTGGATAAACATTTTGCGGGGTAACCCCATACCACTCCACTCCGCCCATCTAAACTTAAAATACTTATAACTCATAAACTACTAGTCCGAAGTTCGATTTTTATGTATCAAAATACTTAGAAAAATATTCTGCTTTGGAATATGAAATTAAAACTCTATGCTGTCATTCAAAAAAGTAAAAAACTTAAAAAATTATAAGGATAAAAAATATTTAAAAATATAATTTTTTAATGAAAACGTTGCAGTTGTTTTTTTAACAACTTGAAACTATTTAAAAAAATATTTTCAAAAACATTAATACTTTTTGAGATAATGAGTATTTTACGCTTAATGAATCACCTTGTATATAGAAAAAGACATTTCTTGTAGTTTAAAAAATGAAGATAATATACTAAATAAATTAGCCATGTCTAATCGCCGTTTACAGTTATAACATATAATTATAATAAGAAATAAACAATTAATTTTCATTGATTAATGTTGAGTTGTATATTGTATTTGATTTTATCAATTATTTT